CATTCATTTTGGATGCATTTCCTGTCGTCTTTTTGTTTGAACTCTCCAAGAAGAAAATGTTTGACCCACTAACACAAACAACTTCATCTTGCATAACAAAAGAGTTTAGGGTTTTTAGTTAATGTACAAGTTGTAACAAAATATGTAGAGGTCGAGAAGCAACAAAACTTCTACATTACCCCAATACAAAACAAATACAAGTTCAAAATATAAAATTTGACATTTTGTTTATAAAGTTCTACTGCCACTATGATTATAGCTGGCCAAATGGACCGATTTTTTCGGGCCGGCCCGTGAGCACGCCGACACGGCCTGCCTTGGGCCAGGCACGACACGGGCTAAACGGGCCGGGCCCGGCACGAGGCACGCCCTGGGCCGTGCCTGGGCCTGGAGGCTGGGCACGCGGGCCGGCACGATACGACCCGATTAAGTTATTTTTTTATTTTTTTATACATCTATATATGGCCCAACATGTAAAAATAGGCTAAAAAACGCTCAGTGCGTAAAATAATAGACTGAAAATATGCGGCCCACCGTGCTAAACGGGCCAACGTGCCGGCTCGTTTACTAATTGGGCCGTGCCTGGGCCTGAGGGCGCAGCACACGGGCCGGCACGGCACGGCCCGTATAGTAATCATGCCCTGGCGGGCCGTGCCGGGCCAGGCACGATTACGATGGGCCGGGCCGGCCCGTTTGGCCAGGTATAACTATGATTTGGGGGTATTTGGGGGAGAGGGGAAACCAGCAACGACGGGACCGGAAGAAGGAAAAAAAAACACGGAGACGAGTCATGGAGGCGAGGGTTGCAGCAGGGGTGCCCGCAGACGAGGAGTCCGGCCTCCTCCCCCGCGCGCGCCCGCCGGCGGCAGCAGTCCGAGGGCGGACGCCCTCCTCATCCTCCTCCGCGGCGGCCCCGCGCCGCGCCCCCCCGCCGGCGGTGTGGGCGACGGTGGACGGGCCCCTGGGGATGCCGCTGGAGGAGGCGGAGGGCCACGCGCGGCGCTTCTTCCTCTGGGGCTTCGCCTGCCTCCCCTTCCTCTGGGCCATCAACTGCTGCTACTTCTGGCCCGTCCTCCGCTCCCCCGCCGCCTCCTCGCCCACCGCCTTCGCCCCCATCCGCCCCTGTAAGCTAACCCCATCCGATCCCCTTCCGTCACTTTCTCCTGCAGTCGGAGTAGATCTCATCTTGTTGGTGCAAGCGTCTCTGGATCTGCCCGGATCGGCTTGCTAGGTTGGAGTGTGCCCTTCAAGCTTAATTTTAGTGCTGAGATTACCAATTTACTCTCTAGACCACGCTGCGATAACGCGCTATTTGGTCAGGACTTAGTCATCGGTTATTCTTAGGGGTTGAAACTATCTGTGTAGTTCTACTGTTCTAGCAATGTTTGGAGATTTGGGTGGTCTCTCTGTAAGTTGTGTTGTCCTGTTCAAACCGGAGGCTGCCGTTAGAGGTTGATTCTTGGCTGTTGGTTGTGGTCGATTGCTGAATTTCGGTTCAGTCTTGTGGACTCTGATTATGGTCTGGTTGCTTTGAGGCGCATCTGTGGACTGATATGCTACTCGGGTTTAAGGAGATGGCTAGTTTTTGCATGAATGTTGAATGTCTTGAGCCGAATCTGTCTAGTTAAGTCTTTTATCTCTGAATGCTGAGTTATCATTGCGAGAAACATACAGGTTCTTTCTTTGGCCTTTTCTCAGACATATTATTATTCAGTGAGGCTTACTTGTCTTCTAGGTTCTGTGACCCATAAGGACATGCTATTCTGCTTGTAATAGTGGACAAGATTCACAGTACAAACTCTGTTATATAGGTCAATGCGGTGTACATCTGGACATAGCAAAAGTTTACAACTCATTGGCACTTTGGTGCTACAGTCTAAGTCCATGTTGCACACTGTTTGGTACTTTGGTCCTTCAAGAAAACCGAACTATCACAAAATAACCTTAGGGTGCAGGTGGTTAGGGAGTAAGAGATCAGATGAGCAAATGGTACAAGTTGCCATCCTCATGATCAAATTTTATCACTGTTTAATTCAGCAAAACTTTCATCTTATCTTGGTACATTTATGTTTCCAAATGCCAACTAAAGCACACTCGCTATAGTCTTAAGCCTATAGTAGCTTGGAGCATCCTTGGTCGTCAGTTGTTCTTAGGGGGTAAACAATAGGTGTAGTTCTAGTGTTTTATGGAGATTTATTAGGTGGTCTTCGGTGCAGTCCGCGTAATTCGTAGGTCGGGTATTCAAATCTGAGCTACCGTTAGAGGTTGATCCTTTGGTTGTTAGTCGTGGTCGATTACTGAATTTCAGTTGAGTCGTCTCGAATCTGATTATGGTCTGTTTGCTTCGAGGCGCCTCTGTTGAGTGCTATCTTAGTCAGGCTTAACGGCTTAAGCAGATGACTAATCTTTGCATGAACTTTGGATGTCTTGAACTGAACCATTCTAGTTAATTAGTGTTCATCTCAGAATGCAGAGTTATCACCAGGGGAAACCTACAAGTGCTTCCATTGACAACCAAACAAATAATTGTACAGTGAAGCTTACTTGGTTTCTAGGTTCCATGATCCATAAGGGCATGCTATTCTGCTTGTAATAGTGGACAAGATTCAGAGCACAAACCCTGTTCTATAGGCTGATGACGTACACATCTAAACATAGTGAAAATTTGCATCTAAACATAGTGAGAATTTGCAACTCATTGTCCCTTTGAGCTACACTGTACATTGCAACTGTCAGACCTTAAATAAATCAAACTGTCACGGAATGACCTTAAGTGCAGGTGGTCAGGAAGTAAGAGAAATCTTATGAATAAATGGTACTACCTCTGTAAAGAAATTTAAGAGTGTTTAGATCACTAAAGTAGTGATCTAAACACTCCTATATTTCTTTACAGGGGGTGGGGTGTGTGTGTACAAGTTACCAACCTGACGATCAAATTTATCACTGTTTAATCCAGGAAAAGTTTCAGCTTTTCTTGATACTTTTATGTCACCAAATGCCAAATAAAGCACACTCGGCATAGTGTAATCTGGAGCATCCCTTGGATGAACATCTCAACAGTGCTACATGCAATCCAAAATGGCAGTGCTGTGTAGTAAGTTGTTTACTGTAAAACTGACACAATCATGTTGTCATATAAATGATTTCTTGAAATAACAGTTTTTTTCCTACACTCATTTGCATTGTAGTGAATCTATGAAATACCTGTTTTGTTTGCTGATATATCTTTGCGACAACATTTATTATGGCATATTGAGAAAATCTGGAAATGACTGGAGAAAGTTTGAGCTGCTTTTCAGAAACATCAAAAAGGTTGTTTATAGTTTTTTGTCATGACAAACGTGGACGGCGCAGTCATCTGAGCCAATTTGTGACTTCTTAGCATCATTTCCCCTGATGCTAGTACTTATTACTGGACTTTATCTTGGTATATATATGACCTTTTAGAGATGAGATAAAGCATTTTTTCTGCTCATTATAGCCATCTGTTTTCAGAACAGTAGTTGTCATATTTTGCTAAAACAGTTGTGATCATTTGATGGTATGTCCATCCGGGTTGCAAATAAGAAGGATTGATGTGTAAGGTACACGATAAATAGGAGAGTATAATCTCTGTTAGAGTCAGATTGGTGTTACACAAGTTTTACTGCTGCTAGCTCACTTGGACTTGAACTGTCTTATGTTGTGCATGCTATTTTTTGCAGTTCCTTACACATTCTCAATGACCCCCTGCAGATGTCGTGCGATCCGCGGTCGGCTTCACCATCTTCGCGGCGGTTCTCCTCACCTGGGCAACGACTTTCATCATCGGAGGCGAGCGACTGTTCGGCCCGGTGTGGAAGGATCTCGTGATGTACAACGTGGCGGACAAGCTCGGTCTCACCGGATTCATGGGGTAGATTCTGCCGCACACATCGCTTCGAGAAGGCTGACATGCTTTGCTTCGACCATTTGATGTCTCACTGGTAGTACCTTGTGCATGATGCTCTGTAATGTTGGTAGTCAATGGTTAGACTGAAGCTCCGTATGGGCACTTGAGCAGTTGTATTGCCACGGGCGCACAGAAGCCCGTTTCGAGTAATTAAGGTTTTTTGTGTGTGTAAATGTAGGGTCAGAACCAGCCCACTTCAGCTATGGGGAAAAAGTTAGCAAGAAATGTATTGAAGAGCTGGCTTGTTAGCTGCCTGACTGTCTCTTAACTACCGTGTGTCAAGCACGTTCTACCTAACATATTCAGGAAACATAATCTACGTATCCAACATCATCTCTTTTCGACTGAGGGATTGTTCAGCTTTTCACCCACCGTCTTTCTTTCTTACATCTTATAGTGTCTTGCAATGCTAGTAACAAATGTTTATCTTCTTCCTACGCTACCAACGCAATCCTCCATTCGGCGAGCATGAATGAGCAGGATTATTCCAGTCGTGCATCGCCACTGGGGATTCATCATAGTATTGTGAGCATAGTGCCTTCTCTGTAACAGTAGTGTGCCAAGCTGCATACAGCGTGCAGAAACCATTGAAAAAAAAATAGCGCGATATAGCATTGCTTTTTTTTTTTTGAGATCCAACAATATAGCATTGCTAATAGCATACTCTCAGGGGCGGTGCTATTTTGTATAGCACATTTTTTTTCCTTGCAGAAACCTACTCCACACAAGCAAACCTTGGCAAGAAACTTCATGGGGAAACAAATCTCCAAAGGAAAGCGCTTTTGGCCTGCTGCTGGAGAATTCCGAACTCAACTATTTTTTTGAATTTTGAATTTGAATTCGTTTCGCACTCCAACTGACCAAGAAAGAAACTCAAAAGGCAGAATCCAGCCCGTGCACGAGCCGGCCGGGGCGGCCGCGGAGCCCAATATAAATAAACGGGACCCCAGCCCAAAGCCCCGTCATCAAACTCATCTGCAATCGAAACCCCACACCGACCCAAGATCTCGAGGCGAGCGCACGAAAGCCGACCGAAACCCTAGATCAGATCAGAGCCGGAGCGGCGGCCATGGCGATCATCTCCGAGGACATCATGCAGGAGGACGAGGCGTCACCGCAGCAGCAGCAGGCGGCGGCCGCCGTGAAGGATAACAGCAGCACGGAGGCGGAGAAGAAGGAGAAGGAGGAGAGCAAGGGGAGGCAGCCAAACTCCGGCAACGGCCTCGACCTGGACAACTACTCGTGGGCGCAGCAGCTGCCGGAGGTGAACCTCACCGTCCCCGTCCCCGAAGGGACCAAGGGCAGGTCCGTCGTCTGCGAGATCAAGAAGGACCACCTCAAGGTCGGGCTCAAGGGCCAGCCTCCCATCATCGACGGCGAGCTCCACAAGCCCGTCAAGGTCGAGGACTGCTTCTGGAGCATCGAGGACGGGAGGTCGCTGTCCATACTGCTCACCAAGCGCAACCGGAGCGAGTGGTGGAAGACCGTGATCAAGGGCGACCCGGAGATCGACACCCAGCGCGCCGAGCCGGAGAGCAGCAAGCTCTCGGATCTGGACCCGGAGACGAGGCAGACCGTGGAGAAGATGATGTTCGACCAGCGCCAGAAGCAGATGGGCCTGCCCACGAGCGAGGAGATGCAGAATCAGGACATGCTCAAGAAACTCAAGTCCCAGTACCCGGACATGGACTTCTCCGGGATGAAGATGCCTTCTTAAGATTTGTCTCTTAGCTAGAGGATCTAAGGCGATAATGCGGAAGATTTTAGATGGAGAATTACTTTGCTATTTCGGTGTCTTGTGGTTTAGTGTTTGTTTATTTATGTCTATTATTGTGATGGTCACTGTATGCGCTATGCTTCGGAAATATAAGTGAACTATGTTTTTAATGTTCTTGTCAGACTTTCTCGGTTCTTTCAAACAGAAAATTCTTAATTCAAACTTTGTAAACTTTGATCAAGTTTATAGAAAAACTTGAATCTTCCGTTTGGCTCATGAGGTGTATGAGAAATTAGGCCTTCGTGCTCACTGCAGCGCAGCCAATCAGTGGGACATTGATCTCAAAGGTTCAGACATTGGGGATGTACAGTTTAGCCAGCTTCTTGTCGACTGAATACATCCTGTCTAACCAGAACTATGCACTGATGGTACGATATGCACGTATTTATGTTTTTCAGATTTTGGTGGTTTCTTTCCTGAAGTTGGCGATGCCGAACTTGCTAGCAGCCTGACCAAACGTCATGATGTCTGAATTTGAGGCTGCTTTTCCCTTAAGCGGTCTCTGAATTAATATTGCTCTATTCTTTTCCTATAACAGAGTAAATAATTGTTGCTGCTTCGATCATAAACATATTATTTCTAATGATATTCATGATGATAACTTGGTTGATGTTTCTGTGTGGCCTTTGGAGTGTTGTTCCTCGGTCAGAAACCAAGGTGCGCAGATGTTCTGTTATATTCTTTTTTCTTGAGCTTTTTTTTTGAGCATCAGTACAGACACAAGCGCTCATATACACGCGCACTTTTTTCTTGAGCTGAAGTTCGGTAATTTACTAGTCACAGCTTCTTTTCAGCATCCATTAGCCCCTGCTTCAGGTTTTTTTTTTTTTGAGCAACTGGAGAATCTTATTGATTAATGTTTACAGGGATACAAGTAACCCTCCGGGGGAGCCAAAATGCAAATATGTATGTCTACCCACATCAAGTACAGTGGCTGCCTTAAATATATTACGGGCGTAAAAAAAATAACTTTCTATGCTCGTGAGAGATCTCAACCCGCTGAAATGTTCACGCTCCATGTCCATTTCAAAATAGCCATAAAGTCAGACTGAAAGTTGAGCGTCATATTTGCCTCAGGATCCTGAACCTAGGCCTAAACGCGCACAGAAGCCCGCAACGAGTATTAATTAGTATTTCTCGGGATCTTTTGTATGTAGAGGGGCTCAATCCATGACGAATAATTAGAAAATTTGCTGTTTCTTCTTCAGAAAACTTCTCAAGAGCTGGTTCTTTAGCTGACTGATTACTCTTAATTAATTCTGCTTCAAATACGTCCCATCTGCTGGATTGGGTAGTATAGTTTAACCTTGGTTTGATTAATTCCTAACATAGTTAATTAATCTTAGGTGACTTGATTGATTAAATGCATATCAATGGGGATGTAGCTCAATTGGTAGACCGCTTATCAATGCTAGTAAGAGGCAGGGGGATCAATACCTCCCATTTACAGTTTTACTTATTTTTCCCTTTTCATATATCACTTTTCGTAGAGAAATATATCACTTTTTTTTTATTTCTAGAAACCTAGACCTGAGAGATTTTGATGCTTCAGGCTTGTTTCTTGGGCCTTTGTTGGGCTGGGAGGTAGAGGCCCAGTCCAACATGAGCCGAGGGTTATTTGGGGCGCAGCCCATTTCAGCAATGAAGAATACTTCAAAAATTGACAGAATCATCGCAATAGTTAGTTCATCATGGCAGTTTATATTGCATTGGGAATCCTAGTTACGTAGCTTGCAAGTACATTTGCCAAGAAATCAGGTGGACCCACAATCTAATAAATGTTTTGTGCATCCATTACATGACTAGCTAGGACGATGACTACAGGAAATATGATCAAATTGCGACATAAAAAGGTGCAGTCTTCATAAATTGCTGCGGTTGGGCCAATGGAATCCCCTCCATGTTGCAACACATCCACCACTTCCATGTAGTCATATTCCACCAGAATTTTGTTGCATCCATATTGTCCGCCAATAACAGACTGTTGAGGACCATGCGCTTAGGCGATTGTAGCGTCGTCGACGTACGTGATTTCGCTACAGCTAGCCGTAAAAAAAAACCTCGATCATCCCTAACAATACCAACCATTCCTCCACAACCCGAATCGTCATGGAAAGAAGCATCTACGTCGAGTTTGATAAACCCTTGTCTCGGCTTACCCAACCATGCCTCCAAATACTTGTTGATTTCTTCTTCCTTGCCTATAGTTTTTCACCGGAGCTGGAATTGCTTGCGTTGTCTTGACTTGATGTTATTGTTGGAGAACGTAGTAATTTCAAAAAAATTCTACGCACACACAGGATCATGGTGATGCATAGCAATGAGAGGAGAGAGTGTTGTCCACGTACCCTCGTAGACCGTTAAGAGGAAGCGTTATGACAACGCGGTTGATGTAGTCGTACGTCTTCACGATCGACCGATCCTCAGTACCGAACGTACGACACCTCCGCGTTCAGCACACGTTCAGCTCGGTGACGTCCCACGAACTCACGATCCAGTAGAGCTCGGGGAAGAGTTTCGTCAGCACGACGGCGTGGTGACGATGTTGATGAAGTTCTGCAGCAGGGCTTCGCCTAAACACCGCTACAGTATGACTGAGGTGGATTATGGTGGAGGGGGGCACCGTACATCGCTGAGAGAGATCTTTGTGATCAACTTGTGTGTCTAGAGGTGCCCCCCTGCCCCTGTATATAAAGGAGCAAGGGGGAGGCCGGCCGGCCCTTGTTGGCGCGCCTAGGAGGAGGAATCCTCCTCCTAGTAGGAGTAGGATTCCTCCCTTTCCTACTCCTACTATGACGGGGAAAGGCATGGAGAGAAAGAGAAGGAAAGGGGGGCGCCGCCCCCCTTCTCCTAGTCCAATTCGGACAGGGGGAAGGGGGCGCGCTGTCTGCCCTAGTCCGGCCCCTCTCTCTTTCCCTTATGGCCCAAGAAGTCCCATTAGCCCCGGGGGCTTCCGGTAACCTCTCCGGTACTCCGGTAAAATCCCGATTTCACCCGGAACTATTCCGATGTCCAAATGTGGGCTTCCAATATATCAATCTTTATGTCTCGACCATTTCGAGACTCCTCATCATGTCCGTGATCACATCCGGGACTCCGAACTACCTTCAATACATCAAAACATATAAACTCATAAAACCGATCGTCACAGAACTTTAAGCGTGCGGACCCTACGGGTTCGAGAACTACGTAGACATGACCGAGACACGTCTCCGGTCAATAACCAATAGCGGAACCTGGATGCTCATATTGGTTCCTACATATTCTACGAAGATCTTTATCGGTCAAACAACACAACACTATACGTTGTTCTCTTTGTCATCGGTATGTTACTTGTCCGAGATTCGATCGTCGGTATCTCAATACCTAGTTCAATCTCGCTACCGGTAAGTCTCTTTACTCGTTTCGTAATACATCATCCCGTAACTAACTCATTAGTAATCATGCTTGCAAGGCTTATAGTGATGTGTATTACCGAGAGGGCCCAGAGATACCTCTCCGACAATCGGAGTGACAAATACCATTGGAGACACCTGTAGAGCACCTTTATAATCACCCAGTTACGTTGTGACGTTTGGTAGCGCACAAAGTGTTCCTCCGGTATTCGGGAGTTGCATAATCTCATAGTCATAAGAACACATATAAGTCATGAAGAAAGCAATAGCAGTAAACAAACGATCAAGTGCTAAGCTAACGGAATGGGTCAAGTCAATCACATCATTCTCCTAATGATGTGATCCCATTGATCAAATAACAACCACTACAAAAAAAATACACTTCCGTGATGATACGTGTTTGTCATAGTAGGTCGCGTTTTTTGTCATGCATGTACATCCATGACAAATTTATGACAGAATCAAGATAGTCATACCTGTGCTGTCGTAGAAGTGTTCCATGACATTACCAAAATTATCATCACAGAAGTGTCCACTTCCATGACGATAAATCGCGCGTCACAGAAGTGCTTTCGTCAAGGGTGACCGACACGTGGCATCCACCGTAACGGAACGCCGTTAAGCTATCGGGTCGGGTTTTGGATCCGATAATCCGTTAACAGCCCCGACCAATGGGGATTTTCCACGTGTAAAATCATCATTGGCTGGAGGAAACATGTGTCGGCTCATCGTCGGGACAGATGTCATCCACTCATTGGACAGAAGGCGCCTATAATACGCTGACACATGGCACGGCCCAACAGAGGCCCATTCCTGTGAAAAGGCCGGCCCGTTTGACTTAGTCAAAAGGTGGTGGGCCAGCCCATGGAAAGCCTGTTAACGGCCTATTCGCATATAGCCCATTTACAGCCCGCTAACCCAAGGCCCATTATGCCCTATCCGAATTAGGCCCAGTAGCGTCATCTGGGCCATCTAATATGATTCCAGCCCGCTTTCACTTCTGGCCCATGTATGGCCCATGACGCCTTTCGGCCCATATGAGGCCCTATGTAACTCTTTGCCTATTAACAACCCGTGGTGAAACTGGCCCGTAATGAATAGTGTATCACTTTACACCCATTAACAGCCAGTGGTGAAACTGGCCCGTAATGAATAGTGTATCACTTTATACCCATTAACGGCCCGTTATTCCGTTGGGCCGTCTCCAACCCATGTTATCTTTCGGCCTTCTCAGAGCCCATTTATTCTTGAGCTCATTCCCAGCATTCGTTTACTTACGACCCGTTACTGTCATTTTCTGCTTGTGGGCCAAATTCAGCCCGTGGTTACAGTCGGCCCGTTTGTGGTCCGTTAATATGTTGGGCTGTTTTCATAGCGTCATCAAATACGGCCTATTAACGATGGTGTTGGGGAACGTAGTAATTTCAAAAAAATTCCTACGCACACGCAAGATCATGGTGATGCATAGCAACGAGAGGGGAGAGTGTTTCCTACGTACCCTCGTAGACCGACAACGGAAGCGTTATGACAACGCGATTGATGTAG